TAATTAGAACCCAGAAATAAATTTAACAATTTAATTTGCATTTTCATTCTTACATCACAGACAGTTATTGAAAATGTGGCCATTTCAAAAGAGAAATAAAAAAGTTATTAGGCTAAAAAAAATTAAACGAACGGAAATGTCGTGACCAAAATGAAGTTGCTTATCTATTATATTTTGCTTTTTTGTTCGCAATAAAATATATTCTTCCATACGTCAAGAGCAATAAAACTGTATTTGACATCTGGTTTTCCTTTTTTTAGTGTAGGGATTTAGGCCACAGGCCATATGACTGGTTAACTACTTTTTTCAACGAAATTTGGGACATAGCATTTGGAGTGTTATTACTCTCGGCGAAAGGGTTGACATGCAGAAGAAGATTTTGTAACTAGTCTAAAAGTGGCCTGACTATTCCTACAACATATTTACTCTTTATGCCTGAGAAACCTTTTCTTCTTGTCTTTGATACTCCTACGAACACGCTTTCGCTTTTTATCATCTGTTTCCTTCCTAAGCATCCAGTAATAAACTAGCATGTTGATGTTTTATCTTCATAAGATTTTGGGAAAACTTTTCACCCCGTTCTTCACTGTAGGCTAGTTTTCGGGAAAACAGTAAATAAGAAGTGTTAATATGAGTTAATATGGGATTTTTTAAATATTTTTCCCGATTTCAGCGAGAAAATCTTTAGGAAACAGTCAAAAAATGATGTGCAGTTTTTTGGTTGTAAATCTATGTAATTAGTTAAATTGAGTATTTTTTTATTATATTCTCTAGCTCTACTCTCGGTAGCCACAAATTCTGACCTACTAAATACTCGAACCCAAAATCCGATAAACCAGTATTCTCGCTGGTGTAGCAAATGGATGGTCTCACTAAATCCACACCATAATTAACACTTATAATTCCTTTATCCGCCCCGTTGTCGAGTACAGCGCTGTACCCTACCGCAAACTTTCCATACACCTGTTCCACAAATTCACCACACTTTGTAACGTTTATTTTTGGCCCCACGAATTAATAAAATTGTTTTGGCTTACCTGGTTAATCATACGAAAAAAAAAGGGTAAAATCGTATGATTGATATCACTATTATTTTGGTCATTAACTAATTTCACCTGTATTCTAACTTTTGGACATCATTATTACAATTTATTCCATCTCACCACTAGTATAATACTTTGTACATTGGTCATATTTGCGGTGTAGTGTTCACTGTTTTAATTTGCCAGATTCTCCTAAAAATAGACCAAGTTTCGTTGTAAATTTATACATATTGTCACCTTTGGGTAATTAATTATTTACGATACCATTCTTTAAGATTTTCTTTGTTGTTTATTTTGTTTATAGCTGTCAGAATTGGATTAATGTTTATTAATTGTGACAGTGAATGACATAAACGTCATTTGACGACAGAACACCGACAAGTGTCATGTTGGTGGGACGTTCCAATATCGGGCTCAGAACCCGAGGTAAGGTAGTTTCACAATGAGCGATTTTAAGTCGTGAGGGATTTTTTTGCGATCGCTGTTTATTAATTTTTGTTGGGAACAGTTTCCCAAATGTAGTTATACTGTATATAAATATAGTTTTTAGGGTACCTTTCGTAAATGGTCTGTTAAGTTATATAGTGGGGAATTCTTGAGGATGAATTTCTGAACCCACTTGACATTTATCGGAAAGGGATTTCGGCCATTTTGGACGGCTGACGTATTGTTTTTTTTTCTGTCAGTGGGTATTCAGTCACGAGAGACGATTTTTGTGTCGAAATAGAATTTTCTTAATATTTAGCCCCATCGGCTTACCCTAATTAAAGGGGATTTTAGATTCTATTTCATGGTTAATTGTGGGTAAATGGACATTTCGTATTTTGAGGGGAATTTTAGTGAATTGGTAAATTCCCATGGTCATTGGTCCAGCCCATATCTAATATAGGATTTTAACGCAATAATCGGGAGTTCACAGCATTTGGAGTGTGGAATATTGTTGTACTGTGAATCATCTCACGTGGTTCTCATCCTTGAAAGGCTACCAAGTTAACCCTTTACGAAAAAGGTATGTTTTGTATATATTAGGTTATGTTACCAACCATGTGTAACAGAATTTTAATTATTGGAGCTCATAATACTGTTTATGACTCACTGTTGAGCCAATGTAGTTTTTCTTTATCCTAGATACTGAATATTTTCTAGTTTATGTACATTTTTGGGTAATCCTATAGTTCGGGATACTTGAGTCAATGTGTATTGACATTTTTCTTTGTAATATTTTAAGGGTTTAACCCAGGGGGTTGTTAGCCCAGGATTCGACGACAGTTTGACCCAAGGGATTGTTGACCCAGGATTTCAACAGTTGTACACAGAGGGTTATATCGTCCGGAGTTCAACGGTTTCATCGTGGACTCATCGAGGGGACACAGAACATTGGTATGCTAGCCACCTAGTTTACTTGTAGCTAGATTTACAAGAATGTTTCTTGTTCTGGATAGGAAGATGGGAATGCTGTGAAAGAAGACACCCTACTATCAGGTTTTTCTTATATGTTATATTGAAGGTTTCATGCGTGCATTGTTAAATTATACATTCACTTTCAACCGAATGTTGTCAAGGTATTCTCAACATTATTTATACTTTTGTGCACAGAATGTTCTAGGGTTCTTTCACTCATAACTTAAGTATTATCAAATGATACATCGTTTAATTGATTAATATTTTAAATTTTGACTTAATTTAAGCACTTAATGCTGATGTAGTGATTCTTCTAGTTGCAGAACATCTGGGCTGCTTCTACGCATAAGTTGTAAATCTTCGGTTATTAAGAACTACAGTCAAATTTAACCTTATTCTTCACTTTTACATTTTGTTTATTTTTCTTTTTATGATAAGACTTAACTATAAGTTAAGCAATCTCAGAAGACCCGTGTGGGGGCAGAGATTAAGTAACCTCTTCCAACCTGGGAGTTTAATTAAATAACCTCTGTGTCGAAAGTCCTTTATATGTTGTATTTTTATTATTTTTTTTGATATTTTTATTTAGTTCTATGAATTATACTTAATTATAAAATTTCATGGTTTAATAATTTTCTTTTGGGTAGTTTGGTCTTAACCAAAAGTTAAGCAGATATCGCCTTCCAATTTGGAGAGGGTTATAAGATTATAAAGATTATAAGTTTACTGTTTTTATAATATATGAAGTAGTATAGGTACGGTGATGCACAATATTTAAGTTAACTATTATATTATATTTTTTTATGTAAGGTGGAAATTAATGTTTTGCGCAAGCGTCATGCCTGGTACCAAGCTAACGACGAACCGTTCCATACTTTGATACATTTATTAATTTTTTTGGGTTATGCATATACATACACTGTGTAAGTTTTTCCTTTTAATTTCCTCCAACTTTTTTTTTTTTATTATCTAAGCCATCAGGTAATTAGTTTGTATATTTACTAAATATTTTTTTTTCTTTATAAAGGAACATAAGTTGAGGTTTGTCTTTTATTTCTTTCCTCATTTACTGGGTTTTTGGGGAAATAGTTTGGCCACTATATAGACCCAGTTGGCGCCTATTTATTTGTCTACTATTTCCGGAATTTTTGTAAGCTATCCACCCCCTAGCTGCCGTCTGAGCGACGTCGAAGGCCCGAAGGTTGACACCGGAACAACCGAAACTTGTGTAACCGTAGTAGACAACATTTTTAATTGTAGTTAATACTTTAATAATTTTTTTTTTTTTTTTGTTTAAAAATTTTGGTGGAATCACCAAGTTCATTTTCGTAGGTTACAACTTGAGAGACGTATACTCAGACGTTGCCAATACCTCCCTTATTGCTCTCCCAGCGGAGAAGTCTTCGAAAACATCTTCAACACATCCTTACACGTTTCCAAACCCGCAGATAACAATAGGTCTCTCGCACGCTGACAGGCACCAACACACACTCCCAAGGCACACTACAAACTCCATGGCGTTACGCCGACTCCCACTTTTTTGAAAACCGAATAGAAAAATGCCGCAACCAAATCTAAGACTACTTTCAGACTTCCAAGACCTTCCTCTCACCGCTGAACTCCAGGATCTGCTGGAATCAGCTCCCCTAAGCATCAGATAAAACCCTTTCCAATCATATAATTATAATTCATAATATTTTTACAGTATCTTGATTTAGGTTTTCGTGGTTTCCCACCTTGTACTTGGACTTGTCCATTTACCAGGTTGGAAATAGCAAAATTGGCGATATTTTCAGGGAACACAACCTGCTACACAGGTCACATACTAGTATAGTCGAAGTAGGGTTTGTGGAACTAATTCCCACAAAACGAGGTTTGAATTACTCATATACTTTTAACATACTAAAAGTCTAGAAAAATGTGAGTGTGCGAAATGCGTTTTTTTGCCGCCATCTTGAATTTTTTTCAAAATTCATGAAAAATCGTGTGTGGTATCAAATAACGGGAAATTTTATGCCGAAAAAGAACAGATTATGAATTAAAAAGAATAAAAATGAATAACAAAATAGTATGGAAAAACTAAGTCTATACAGTATGTAAAAATATGTAAATTCCTTTTCCAAAGTTGTGACAAATCCTAAGAAACTTAACATGGCAGATATAAACTGTATCTTGTGCTCTGAAAAAAAAAAGGCGAAACTTTAAAGTTCGTTAAGTTATCTGCCAAAGGTATACAGTATACAAGGAATTATAAGTGCAATTAAAATTCGAAAAGACAATATCCATGAGTTATTTGAACCATTTCCTGATGACCCTGTGAGAGTCCATGTTGAATTCCGCCGTGTATATACAAATCCTAATAATATCCAGAATGATGCAAAATTAAAGCTATCCACTCAGGATGAAGGTAGTTGCAGGCGAGTACTCCGGTCGAATATACCAACATTTTTATTCACAGAACAATGTATATTTTGTGGTCGCTTTGTTACTGATCCTGAGAAATGGGATAAATCTGGGGTTATACAGGTCCGTACAGTAATGTTTCAAAAATCAGTTATGAAGGCGTGTAACTCTAGAAATGATTTAAGGTCAGCAAGGGTTCAATTCCGTTTGCTATTAGTTAATGACTTGCCAGCAATAGATGTCATTTACCACCAGGCATGCAGCGTAAATTTTCGAAAAGGTGACCCGATCTCAAAAGTACCAAAATATTCCAAAGACGAATTACGTTACAAACCTCTTGGTCGTCCTATGGAGAAAGACAAGCTAGATGCTTTTCCGGAAGTATGTAAGTGGTTTAAAGAAAATGATGAGCCAGTTTGTGCCCAGCAGCTGGTTATTAAAATAAAAGACTTTCTACCAGTTGGTAGTGAACCATATAGTGAACGCCACATGCTGCAGAAGCTCAAAGAACATTTTTTTGGGAATATCATCGTTTTCTCGAAGTATGGATTGCCTAATATGATAACTATAGGTAAAACAGTGGCTGATATTATTTTGAATTACCAGAAGAAGAAAAAATTAGAAGACCCCGAATCAGAGAAATATCATCTGATTGAAGCAGCAGCAAAACTGATCAAAACGGAAATCAAACTATTATCAGCTACAACGAAGCACTATCCCTCGTCATCAGAGATTGCATCTGAACAGGAAAATAAAAAGTTGTTGCCATCAGTTTTGCAACATTTCTTGGATAAAAGATGAAAAAAAAATAAAAATTTTGTCAAGGAAATTGAGTGAGAAAATAATAGAGTACAAAATAACTACAACTGATATAGAAAAATGTTCATTACAAATTACGTTAAATTTTTGTTTAGCTTGCGAAAATTGCAATAATAAATTGGACTAATTGAATTTTTTTATGAAAGTCCGGTTCAAGTAAAATCTTAAATGGGGTAAAACTAATAAATAAAAATGTACGTATGATTATGTTGATAATGGGGTGTTAATACACTGCGACCTAAAAGATCTATTGTGCCCCCTTCTGTCGCCACTGCACTAAGGAAATGTTCTCAATGCCTATAGCGACCCTTCCAATCCCATTTTCTCAAGGAAGTGTAGGATTTGAAGTGGCTTCAAGTTAGGTAAGTCTTCCTCTTCTATTTGATATCCTCCTAGATATAGTGTCCTTGGATTCTGGAGTGCTACACATTCAGTTAGGATGTGAATGGAGGTTTCGTCCTCCTCCTCACAGAATCTGCACTCACTATACTCTACTACTCTGTTTACTTAGGTGTCCTTTTAGTCGGCAGTGCCCGGTAAGGATCCCTGTTACAATACGTAGCCTGTTCTTGCTCAGGCAGATGCAGGCTTCCAATCTTTTTTTGGTTATATTCACCCAGAAGTATCCTTGGCCTGTCTCAGCCCCAAGAGATTGTTCCAATTATCGGTTCTTCTACTACCCAATTCTTTTTTAATCTCTTCTAATATTATGTTACTGCTGATACCGCAGAACGGCTCAGGTCCTACAAAGGGTGTTTGAGCCCCTTTCCTTGCAAGACTATCTGCAATCTCGTTACCCTGTACCCCGTTATGTCGCGGGACCCAAGTGAGAGTAACTCTATTTTTCTCGCCTAGCTCATTCAATTGTTCTAGGCATCTCCATACCATTTTTGAGCTGATTACGTAAGAACTCAGCGCTTTGATGGCTGCTTGACTATCGGACATGATGATAATCTCTTGTCTATGACAGTTTCTCTCGATGTTAAACTGGATACACTTCTCGATGGCGTGAATTTCCGCCTGGAAGATGCTTGAGTATTTTCCTAAGCTTTCGGAGTGCTTGGTTCTCGGCCCATACACTCCTATTCCAGTTCCTTCTATGGTTTTGGAACCGTCCGTGTACCACTGAATAGCACGTCTTTCGGTTGCAAGCGCGATGGATTCTTGGCTCCATTCTTTCTTGCAGCCCAGCTCTGTGGTTTTGAAGTTTTTCACAAAACTGTACTTCTTTTGCATTTCATCCTGTACGTAAGGTCAATACTTAGCTGAGAATCAAACAAGAATTTTGAGCAATTAACCTATTTTCGGTCCAATTTTACACCTCTTTCATAAAAATAGATCAGGTTTCGCCAAGTTACAAAATCCTTTTTTAATATCAACTTTTTCGATGACACAAAAAAGCCCGCAACATCACATAAGGCCTTTTTTTATTGTATTAGAAAGTGGCCCATCGAAAACTTGGTGTTTTTGGGTATTAATAAAATAAGCTTTCAAATAAAGTGTCACACTTTATAATACGTAAAACTACTATCCGATCAGTATTAATAAATAAGCAAGTTGTTTTTAAAAACACCATCTTTTTATTTAAATAATAAACCATTTCGTATGCTTTAATTATTGTTCAATCTCAGGGAGATAGAACGAACCCAAAATTAAAATTACTGGCACGTTTTCTTACTTACACAACTATCAAATCTTGTTTATTTTGCTAAAGTGGAAAACAATGGTATCTGTTTCTCTAATAGCATTTCAATGAAGATGTACTGCTGCAATCGAGTGCGGATTCTATTTTATTCCAGATAAAACTAAATTTAATATAAAGGCAATTGAGTTTGTACGACGATGGGTTACAATTAAATTAAAAACACATTCTTATAATATTTTCTTATTTAAAGTATTTATTTTAGAAAAAGATTTTTAACGAAAGCTATTTGGTATACAGAATTTTTTCATTACGTAAAGACATAAATAGGGTGAACAAGGAACAATCTCAAATTACTATAATTAATCTGTACTTTTTTGCTGACTTAACCAAAATGTCCATTAACTATAACTCTTATACCTGCTTCTAAACCCACACAGTGAAATCACTGTTGCGTTCTAGACTTCTGAGTTTACATCATAGACGTCATAGTATGTTTCATGTTTCAAATATTAGAGTCAGAACTTAAATTTTTAGAATATTTCCAAGCAGAAGCTATATTATGGGATGGCAAATATCCACTATATAAGGACAAAAAACAATGAATATTGGCCACCTAGAAATGTATAAGAAATACTAAGGGAACATAATATTGAATAATAAATCATAAAATAGGCAAATAAAGTTAAAGAATCCATTCAGTTTACAAAAATATTTTATTTTCTTTGTAAATAAATATTTTTGAATCGGATTAATTTAATTTTTAAACATATAAAACATATATTTTTTTTAAATAATCATTACTTTAACATATCTTATGTGAGCACAAATTTTTGTGATTATAAATTGAAAAAGGGCCAAAAAGTTTTAAACATGACTGTCTTAAAGTAACGAAGGCACAATATCAACTTGTTTCTGAAGTTTACGACAGTTTGGGGATATAGAGGATCACAATCTGCTTATAATTTTGGGGTGCATTGTTTTTGTAATTTTTATTTGCAAATTTGCTCTTAATTTAAGAAGTTAATATCTCTTTTTTCATAACAAATTGTTTAACATTTTCTGAATTATTGGAAAAAAATAGTCAATTTATAAATTGTAAAAGTGTTAATTATATTTTCGAGCTCTATTATATATACCTAAATAATATTAATTAAAATCACCATTTTTTTTATTTATAAGGCTCGAAACAGACCGTTTAGGTATATGGTCTAGTTACTTTCTTCCATTCGTCCCTCTTCTTGGCTTTGTCTTTCCAGTTGATCTTTTTTTCTTCAATATCTGCTATGATCGATTCCCTCCGATTTCCTTCTAGGCCTTTCTCTCTTTTTTCCTTCCCGTGTTGTCCAAGCTACTCTTTTTACTGTTCTTGAGTCCTTCATCCTTTCTAAGTGCCCCCCATTGTAACCTTTTTGACTGTATTATTTCTTATATGTTGGGTTCGTTAAATATTTTGTAGATTTCTTTGTTTGTTCGTCTTTCTCATCCTTCTTCTGTCTTTTTGCCCCCATATATTCTTCTTACTATCTTTTGTTCCCATATTTTAATTTGATCTGTTCTTTTTTATTTAGTGTCCATGTCTCACTGCCGTATAGCATTGTGGGTCTGATTATTGTTTTGTACACATATTTCTTTATTTCCCATGACAATTCTTTAGATTTTAGTAAATTATGTAAAGCTCCTGCTCATCTATTACTCTTTGCTAGACGATGATCTATTTCAGCTTGTTCTTCGCATCTATTTGTAATGAGTACACCGAGGTATATGTTACTGTCTGTTTTGTCTATTGTTATTTCTCCTATGGTTTTAGTTTGTAATTCTAGCTTTAAATGTTTGTTTTTGAATTGCATGCACTGACTCTTCTTTTTATTTATTCTTAGCCCCATGTTTTTTCCTGCCGTGTCTAATAACTGTTCTGTTATGTTTTTAAGAGTTTTTTGGCTTCTCGTACATCATCTGTGTATGTTAATGCTTGGTGGGATCTGTTGATCATGGTTCCATATCTGTTTATTCCGCTGTTTCTTGAGACTAGTTCAAGGGTTAAGTTAAAGGGTGGATAATGGGTCTCCCTGCATAAGATTGTTTTGGACTTCAGATTATTCGGTTTTCTCACCTCCTACTCCTATTGCACACCTTGTACTTTCCAGAGTCATGTTCGTCATTTTTACAAGTTTAAGAGGTATTTTTAGTTCTTTTAAAGCATTTATCAATTTTCGTCGATTTACTGTATCATATTTAAAATTAATAAACATAATATGGGTCGGTATTTCTTATTTGTAGCAACATGTGAGTACCTGTTTTAAATTAAAGATTTGGTCAGTCGTTGACCTGCCTTTTCTAAAGCCGCATTGGTATTATCCGATAATTTTTTCTCCTTCTACTTCTATTCTTCTTTTAATTAACGTGACTATTACCTTATATGTAACGTCCAGCAAAGCTATATCTCGATAGTTTCCACACTCTGCTAGGTCGCCTTTCTTATATATTGGCAGTATTACTGCTTTCCTCCAATTTAGTGGCATTTCTTCCACTTATATTTTTCTTTGATTAGTTGTATTATTTCTGTCATTAGTTGTTGTCCTCCATATTTTAGGTTCTCTGCGGTAATTTTAATATTTTATTATTCTTCATATTTGAAATAATTTATATTATCTCCTCTTCTTTGGGTTCCCCAACGATGTTTATAGGATTTTTATTTGCTTCTTTTTCTTCTTCTTTTTCTTCTTCTTCTTGTTCTTCTTTTTCTTCTTCTTCTTTTTCTTCTTCTTCTTCTTCTTCTTCTTCTTCTTCTTCTTCTTCTTCTTCTTCTTCTTCTTCTTCTTCTTCTTCTTCTTCTTCTTCTTCTTCTTCTTCTTCTTCTTCTTCTTCTTCTTCTTCTTCTTCTTCTTCTTCTTCTTCTTCTTCTTCTTCTTCTTCTTCTTCTTCTTCTTCTTCTTCTTCTTCTTCTTCTTCTTCTTCTTCTTCTTCTTCTTCTTCTTCTTCTTCTTCTTCTTCTTCTTCTTCTTCTTCTTCTTCTTCTTCTTCTTCTTCTTCTTCTTCTTCTTCTTCTTCTTCTTCTTTCTTCTTCTTCTTCTTCTTCTTCTTCTTCTTCTTCTTCTTCTTCTTCTTCTTCTTCTTCTTCTTCTTCTTCTTCTTCTTCTTCTTCTTTCTTCTTCTTCTTCTTCTTCTTCTTCTTCTTCTTCTTCTTCTTCTTCTTCTTCTTCTTCTTCTTCTTCTTCTTCTTCTTCTTCTTCTTCTTCTTCTTCTTCTTCTTCTTCTTCTTCTTCTTCTTCTTCTTCTTCTTCTTCTTCTTCTTCTTCTTCTTCTTCTTCTTCTTCTTCTTCTTCTTCTTCTTCTTCTT